AAAAAGAAAGCAGAACCTTAGCTATTGAACTGCAGCGTGGGGCAACAGCCATTACTTTCAGTTTGGCCTGGCTAGCAAAAGGCGGCCTTGTTATGTAAATAAAGCCCCTTTAGTAGTCAGAATCAAAAATCTTCCCTCCTTTTTTTTTCTTTTGCTGGCCATTTTTCTCCCCCACCACACCACCTTTTTTGTGTGTGAGGGAATTTAGACATTTCAGAGGACTTGTTCCCCATAATTTGGAACTTCCTTTGTATTTGATCAAGTCGGATAGAGCTGACCAAACCCAATGGAAAAAAGACCGAAACAACAACAAAAACAGAAACAAACAAACAACACCACCAACAAAAAAGATATAAACTTATTTGATCACTTAGTACTCTAATGGTAAGGAGAAATTAAGACCAGCTGGTTGTTAATTTTAACTTTAGCCACGACAATCCCCAATTCAGTTACTAACCTAGGGATGGGTCTCAGGCTGTAGACTGCTCTCTACCATTTTAGAAGCAGGAAAAAAACTCACCTTCCCTGTTGGAAGCGAACTGAAACTCTGTAAAGGAGTTACCTGCCTTCCATCGTCATGGAAACAGGAAATCTTGCCTTCCTTGTTGGAAGCAGTAAAACTCCAAAAAATAAGAGGAGTTGCAGAGCAAAATAAACTTTAGATTTCAACCAAATTTGGGGAGATCAGAGATTTTCTGGAGGGGGTGCTCTCAGGCCTCAGCAAATTGTCCTATTGGTCTGAGCCATGAAGTTAGCTGATGCTGGTCTCAAGCACTGATAGGAGATTTATCAAAGGTCAGGGGCATCCACAATCAGAATCGCCCTGTGGTTACCAAAATGTGAACCCCGAAAATCTGAGACAGGTCTCAGTTAATTTTGAAAGTTTATTTTGCCAAGGTTGAGGACACATGCCTGTGGCACAGCCTCAGGAAGTCCTGATGACATGTCCCCAAGGTGGTCAGAGCAGTTTGGTTTCATACATTTTAGGGAGACATGAGACATCAATCAACATGTGTAAGATGAACATTAGTTCAGTCTGGAAAGGCTGGACAACTCGAAGTGGGGAGGGAGCTTCCAGGTCATAGGTAGATAAGAGGGAAATGGTTGCATTCTTTTGAATTTCTGATCAGCCTCTCAAAAGGATGCAATCAGATAATGCATTTATCTCAGTGAGCAGAGGGGTGACTTTGAATAGAATGGGAGGCAGGTTTGCCCTATGCAGTTCCCAGCTTAACTTTGTCCTTTAACTTAGTGATCTGGAGGGCCCCAAGATTTATTTTCCTTTCACAGAAGTATCATATAATATTGAACCAATAGAATGTAAGGCATATCTAAAACACCCAAAGCCCAAGCTAGCATAAAAATCCCAGCCTGCCACCAAACACTGGTGGACAAGAACACTACTCTCCCCGCATCTCTCTGGAATAGCTGTGAGGTCTTTATGACTCCCTTGTGCTGGTTAGGGTAAGCGAAATCCACGACCAAAAGAATACTTTGATGAAAACAGCCAAGAAAAGCTGACCAAATCCTGGCACTAAAGTAGCATGGGGCTTTAGTGCAAAAACTATATTTTGTTAGTTCTCATCGCTAGCTAATTGAGCAATACACTGATTTTTATTAACTTGTTGAATGCGAATAAATGTGTGCATGGCAAGCATTAACTGGCTCACAGTTTTCTTGGTTGCCTTTTCTGATTTATATCTTTGAACTAGGTCTTTGCTGTAATCTAAGCAAAAAATTTAAATTAAAGAACAATGACATAATAGTTGGCATTCAGTTTAAATATATCGGGCATATTTATAACAGTTCGCCAAGTATGTTTATTGCAGCACTGTTTGTAATGAAAAGGAAGTGTTAATTAATATATTCATTTGATGTAGTAATATGCAAACTTTTTTTTTTCTCTCTCTCTCTTTTTTGAGACGGAGTCTTGCTCTGTCGCCCAGGCTGGAGTGCAGTGGCGCGATCTCTGCTCACTGCAAGCTCTGCCACCTCCTGGGTTCACGCCATTCTCCTGCCTCAGCCTCCCGAGTAGCTGGGACTACAGGCGCCCACCACCATGCCCGGCTAATTTTTTTGTATTTTTAGTAGAGATGGGGTTTCACCATGTTCACCAGGATGGTCTCGATCTCCTGACCTCATGATCCGCCCGCCTTAGCCTCCCAAAGTGCTGGGAATACAGGCGTGAGCCACCGCACCTGGCCAATATGCAAAATTTTAAATGAGACATATTTTCATGTGCTCTTATAAAGAGACTTCCAAGATATATGAGTCATGTAAAAAAGCAGTATGGGGTTCCACAGGTATAGTATAATTTCTTACCTGTTTAAAAAAAAAGGTTTATAAGTAGACAATTTGTAGGGTCACTTCCATCAAAATGATTGAGTAAATTCAAGGGAAAATCCTTCCTTCACTCCAAACAGATCAAATTAAAATGACAGGTAATATATTCCAAATACGTATTAAAAAGACAAGCCAAGTTCAATAAACAAAATAAGCAACTCTTTGAATTGTTAAGGGAAAGGTAACAGCTGGGGGCTTAAGTCATAGGTCTGCTGGGCCGCAGGACAAAAAACAGCACCTGCCAAGAACCCAGGTCCTTTGGAGAACTTACTGGATGTTCTGATGCATGACAGGGGGTTATATAACATTATGACTGCTATCTGGGCCCCCTCCATTTAGAGCCACTTGCCTAGAGTGATTGAGAAGAGCAAAGAGGATGCGACCAGCCCAGCCTGTCCCCAGCCCTCTAGGCTGCCATGCAGAATTGGACTTTGCCTGCAGCTGGCTGGGGATAGGATCAAGCAACATACTCTCTGTATTTTTTTTTTTTTTAATGTAATTCCTTTGGCTGTCAAATGTAAATTCTAGTTCTAGGCTGTGGAGACAGACTTGACACCACTCAACATGAAGGAATGCAGTGGGGAGAGAGGGAAACCCACAACTCCAAAGTGGACTGGCATATTTAGCATCCATTACAATCTTTTCCTAATGAAACTGACTCTGCTGGAGTACAAAAAAACTGCATTTTCTGAGCTCCCTCTGAGTTAGCGTTCCTTGTGTCAATCACGTGCACACTTGAGAAATCTGAATTGGGATAAGGCTTATATGGGAAAACACCGGAGGACCTTGAGTGGAAGGTGTCTACTTTTCTAATATAAATTGTGGCAGAGGCATTGGGGTTCCTCAGCTAGCAGTAGCTTCCCGGTTTTGAAAGCTTGCTGCACCGGGCATGGTGGCTCATGCCTGTAGTCCCAGCACTTTGGGAGGCCAAAGCAGGTGGATCATTTGAGGTCAGGAGTTCAAGACCAGCCTGGCCAACATGGTGAAACCCCGTCTCTACTAAAAATACAAAAATTAACCGGACATGGTGGCAGGCGCCTGTAATCCCAGCTACTTGGGAGGCTGAGGCAGGAGAATCACTTGAACCCAGGAAGAGAAGGTTGCAGTGAGCCGAGATCACGCCACTGCACTCCAGCCTGGGCAACAGAGTGAGACTCCATATTAAAAAAAAAAGAGAGAGAGAGAGAGCTTGCTGCAGTTGTGACCCCAGTTTTGCTGATACCAACAGAGTTGTGTGATTCTGGAGGCAGGGAGTGGTTTCTAGAAGTTCTGCCTAAAGCAGTGCTTCTCCATTGAGTTTCTTTCAGTGTCTAGGGAAGGGCAAGTCTTTGTTGCACAGGGTTGTTCTGTTCATCGTAGGACATTTAGCTCAGTTGACACCTGCCCACCAATTGTTGGCAGCTGGCCCAGCTATTATGACAACCCAAAATGGCCCCACATATTTCCAAAAGCCTAGGGAAGCACTATCACCCATGGCATAAAAAATAAAAAAGCCCCCAAATCACATTGTAAGCCCCTTAATGCCAAGAAATAAACCCCTGTCATCTACAATGTTTCTGTCATCTACAATGAACCCTAACAAGGATACACACATGTGCAAGAAATTCACATACAAAAAACAAGCTAGCAAACTAAAATTTCAAAGCTCTTCATGCAAATGAACATCATGAAAGATAAAAAGCTTAATAAACAAGAGAATTTATTCTAGAGTAAATGGAAATAATAGGCCAACTTGAAAAAAAATTTTAAATATAGTCATCCCTCATTTCTCAATTGTCTGCAGAGGATTGGTTCCAAGACTCTTGTAGGTACCAAAATCCCAGAATACTTAAGTTCCTTACATGATATGGTATATTTTTTACATACAATCTGTGTACATACTCTCCTATACTTTAAATCATCTCTAGTTTCTTTATACCTAACACAATGTAAATGCTGTGCAAATTGTTGTTATACTTTAAAATTTGTATTATTTTAATTGTTATATTGTTATTTTTTTCCAAATATTTTTGATCAGCAGGTGGCAGAACTGCACTAGGTGAACCCAGAGAGCCCACTGTAAGTATGTTTAGTATCCTCAAAGATGAGAAAACAAAAAGACAAGACAACTAAATACACTAAGTAAGAAATCAGCTGGGCATGTTGGTGAGCACCCGTAGTTCCACTGCTTGGAGGCCGAGGCGGGCTTGAGTCCAGGAGGCAGAGGCTTCAGTGAGCCAAGATTACACCACTGCCCCTCAGCCTGGACAACAGAGACTCAAATCTAAAAAAAAAAAAAAAAAGTCTTAATGTCTACAAAACGTGAGAAAAAGAGAGAGAATTAAAATCAGTATTTCGGTATTCAGCTGAGGCTAAATATTACCATCATAGAATGAAATGCTGAGATATAGGAACTAATATGAAGTTCTATTAGAAAGTTTTATTATTAATATTTCATTATGAAAAAACTTTAGTTGTCATTTTTAGAAAGTGTGACAGTTATGTGCTAAAACAATTTCTCAGTAATGTCACCAAATTATTAAATAGACACTCACTTTCTTGTTTGTTTGTTTTCAAGATGGAGTCTCACTCTTGTCACCCAGGCTGGAGTGCAATGGCATGATCTCGGCTCACTGCAACCTCCACCTCCTGGGTTCAAGCCGTTCTCCTGCCTCAGCCTCTGGAGTAGCTGGGATTACACGCGCCCGCCACCATGGCCAGCTAATTTTTGTATTTTTAGTAGAGACTGGGCTTCACCATGTTGGCCAGGCTGGTCTCGAACTCCTGAGCTCAGATGATCCGCCCGCCTCTGCCTCTCAAAGCACTGAGATCATAGGCGTAAGCCACCGCACCCGGCCAACACTCGCTTTCAACTAAAGTAAATAAAGGAGTGATTTTTTTCTTTTTAGTTTTTAATTTGAAATAATTTCAAACTTAGATATTTAAAGAATACAGAGCACTCCCACATATCATTTATTCAGCTTCACCAATTTTTCACATTTGGTCACATTTTATCATTTTCTCTCTATACATAATTTTATATAATTTATAATAAAATAATGTAATTAATAATTATTAAATTAACAATAAAATATAAATTATACATTATATATACCACATATATATTATGTAAATGTGTCACATACATATTCCTATTATTTATTTTTTCTGAACAATTTGAGAGTAGATTACAGACATCCTTCCACTTTACCCTTTAACACTTTAGGTCATATACTCTAAGAACAGGGATATTTTATTGTATACCCACAGTTATCAGCTTTGGGAAATTTAATATTTGCCATTTATCTTTTAACAAAGATAAAACAACTTTTATCTAATCAATTTTCCATATTCCAATTTGTTTTTTTAGAAAACAGAAAAGATAGGTTCTTGCTCTGTTACCCAAACTGGAGTGCAGTGGTGCAATCACAGCTCACTGCAGTCTCAAACTCCTGGGCTCAAGCAATCCTCCCACCTCAGCCTCATGAGTAGCTGGTACTACAGCCACGTGCCACCACACCCGGCTAATTTTTTTTTTAATGTTTTTGTAGCCCAGCTAGGTGGCTCACACCTGTGATCCCAAAACTTTAGGAGGCCCAGGCAGAAGGATTGCTTGAGGCTAGAAGTTGGAGACCAACCTGGGCAGTATAGCAAGACTCCATTTCTACAAAAAATAAAAATAAAAATAAATTTCTGTAGAGATGAAATCTCATTATATTGCCCAGGCTGGTCTCAAAGGCCTGGTCTCAAGCAATCCTCCTACTTTGGCCTCCCAAAGTGCTGAGATTACGGGGATGAACCACCTCACCTGGCCCAAATTTTTTAAACAGTCCCCCAAAATGTCTGTTATATCACTTTTAATCTAGGATTGCATATTGCATTGAGTCGTCATGTCTCTTTAGTCTCCTTTAATCCAGAGCAGTTCTTCATTCTTTGTCTTTCAAGACTGACATTTAAAAAAATACTAGCCACTTTCTTTTTTTTTTTTTTTTGAGACAGAGTCTCAGTCTGTCACCCAGACTGGAGTGCAGTGGCGAAATCTTGGCTCCCTGCAACCTTTGCCTCCCAAGTTCCAGTGATGCTCATGCCTCAGCCTCCCAAGTAGCTGGGACTACAGGTGTGAGCCACCATGCCCGGCTTATGCCCAGTTAATTTTTGTATTAAGTTTCTTTTACTTTTTTTTTCCTTGTGACAGGGTCTCACTCTGTCACCCAGGCTGAAGTGCAGTGGTGCAATCTTGGCTCACTGCAACGTCCATCTCTGGGTTCCAGGGTTCAAGCCATTCTCCTGCCTCAGCCTCCAGAGTAGCTGGGATTACAGGCACGCACCACTATGCCCGGCTAATTTTTGTATTTTTGGTAGAAACAGAGTTTCACCATGTTGGCCGGACTGGTCTCTAACTCCTGACCTCAAGTGATCTACCCACCTCGGCCTCCCAGAATGCTAGGGTTACAGGCATGAGCCACCGTGCCCAGCCTAAGTTTCTTTTATACATAGAAAATATTCCTTACTTGGAGTCTGTTTCTTTGTATTTAAAATCAAGTTATGTATTCCCAGCCAGATCACTACGTAAATGATGTCATGCTTTCTCAAGGGAGCATTTCTGGAGGCACATGATAGTCTTCTGTCCCTCATTGGTGATGTTAATTTTGGCCACCAACTCAAGGTGCAGTCTGGTTTTCCCACTGTGCAGTTACAATTTTTCCTCTTGCAATGAATAAGCCAACTATGGGGAGATACTTTAATCTATGTACATACCCTGCTTCTGTCAAACTTTCCCCCTAGAATTAGCATTCATCAATAATTCTTGCCCAAACCAACTTTTACTCTGATGCAAAATAGTTATTTTCTGACTCCATCAGCTCCCTCCACATTTATTAATTGGCATTCTCCCTTCTCCTTCATTCATTCATTTAATTAATTAATTATCTATGTATTATCAGGGTGGAGTCATGGATTCCTATGTTTTCAATGGTTCATAATTCATTCCTGGTCGTCTCCGCTGGGGGCACCAACTAGCAACAACTAGATAAAGTATACCTGTCTTACATGTTACAAATATTTTTTTCACAGTTTGTCATTTCTCTCTCAAATTTAGTTTATGTTAATTTCTTCACTCATGTTTTTCATATAGTCAGATTTATTAATATTTCCCTTTACATCTGGCTTAGAGATCTCTTCCCTACTCCAAGACCATAAACAAAACAAAAATTCCATAATTTCTTTTTTTGAGACACTGTCTCGCTCTGTCACCCAGGCTACAGTGCCATGGCACCATCTCAGCTCACTGCAGCTTCAACTTCCGGGGCTCAAGCAAGCTTCCCACTTCCACCTCCTGAGTAGTTGGACTACAGGTGTGAGCCACCTTGCTGAGCTAATTTTTAAATTTTTTGTAGAGACAGGGGTCTCACCATGTTGCCCAGGCTGGTCTTGAACTCCTGGTCTCCTGTCGCCTCAGCCTCCCAAAGTGCTGGGATTACAAGCATGAGCCACTGTGCTGACTTTCATGATTTCTTCACTACTTTTATGATTTCACCTTTAATATTAAAATATTTAATAGATTTGGAATTTTGGTGTAAGAAGGGTAGAGATTCCACTTTTCCCCCAGCTGATTTTAGTCATTTATTTGTATAAAATTCATTCATTCAAAAATCCACCACACACACACATATTTTCATAATGTTCTATATTTCTTATTATGCCCTTTTTTCCTATTGAATCTTGATACATCTTTTATTAGAACCATGGAGCCACAGAACTCTGATTCTCAGCAGTGTGAAGTATCAAGCTGTCTATGACCTAAGGCTTCCAGGCAGAACTACCGCCAATCTGGCCTCTCTGGGGTTCCCTTCCTCCTGCAAGGTTGCACCAAGCGGCAGTTCGGGGAAATAGGCCTTTGAATTACCCAGTGTGTATCTCTTGAGTGTCTGTTAAATAAAGGGGGGCAGGGCGGGGGAGGAGGGGGAGAGGGAGGCTGTGCATCAGTCTTTGTTAGCCAGGCAGAGCGTTTATTTTCCAGGGGTTGTTTCTTTTATCTTCACCCTAACATTCAAACTTGACGTGGGTTTTAGCGCGCCCCCGCCCTACCTCCTCCCAAAGCCCTTATTTGCCCATCCTCGCCTACAAGCTCAGAACGAGCAGGCAACGGAATGGCTGGTCTTGGGAGCAGGCGGTTGAGATGCCAGGGTTTGGAGGCTAAGGGCTGGGGGTTGTGAGCGAGGACCTTCCCGCGTCTGCTCCTCGCCCCCGCAGTTTCCTCCGCGCCCACTAGAAGGCGCCGGGGCGCTCGCATTCTCCGCGCGAAGCCGAAGCAGCCGCAATCAGCCCGGAGCCGAACCGCGCGGCGCTGCGGTGCGAAGAGCCGGGAGGCGGCCAGAGCCCTCCCCGCGCTGCCAGTGGGACACGGAGCCAGGGATCCCCGGCTT